GACTCGGGGGTAAATGAAGCCAAGCCGTGTTTTCATTTCCATGCCTGAACACAACGTATTGTTTGGGGGTTTTTTTCAGGAAATTTGAGAATTGGGATTTTCTGCTGTCACCTGGTCAGGCAGACAAGGTAAAACTGACGTGACCAGCCTTGAGGTGCCTATTTAGTCACAGTGATCTGCAGGAACGGGCAGCTCAGCCGGTGTTAGATGCAAGTCCTCCTCTCTCAGTAGGCAATATGCAGTGTAGCAGAGGTCTGCGATGAACTGGCCGGCTTGGTGCTGGCAAGTGAGATAAGTCTTCTAGAAGGAGACTTGTGCAAGGCATCCGCTGCTGTGAATTTCTTGAACCTTGCAAGAAGGGCCACTCTTGCTGCTGGAAGTTACCACAGTGTGAGGTCCACAGCTGGATTTTATTTTTTACTTTTTTTTTTAACATGGTGTACTTTTGCTTTATTTCTATATGTAGGCTGCTCGGAAGCTTTGTAAACCACAGTGCTGGTCTACAGACAAGCTACAGTGGGGCTTGCAGACCTAATTTATTTTAAGTAGTTCCATGAATGTATAGTCTAGAGCAGCCTCGTGTCTATCTTTAGGTTAGATTTTTTGCTATGTGGGGAAATCATGATCTGACAGTCTTCCTGCATCTGGGGTGTTTGCTGGTTCTCTAACCTTATATAGACTGGCGAGTTTTAGTGGCCATTGCACTCGCCACCCTCTGGGCATTTATGAATGTCTCTCGGTCATCTATTTTTTCAAGAAACTTAGAAATGTAGTATATTTGAAAAAACTTTCACTTCTGTCAGATAGGGTTGGAATTGAGTTTCAAAGTTGAAAGAAAGAGGCAAGGGAGGAGGGGAAGACACGAACACGATTTCATAAATTTGTTAGCCTTAGAGAACAGGCTACAGAGGGCGAAACAGGGCTTTAATTAGTGTCATTGATTGAGCTAGTCTGCAGGTTTTTATAAGTATTGAGTTTAATGCTACTTGAGGCCAAGAAGTCCTTGAAGGTTGTTAGAGGCTGATCAGAGACCTGTCCACAGGAAGAAGATGCTTTGTTAATAGCAAGGAAAGTGTGTACTCAACATTGCTAGCCCTAACATCCATACGTCCCCTCCCTGAAATCAGTGGGAATGTAGCCACCACAAATCTGTAGTTGCTCTGTTGTGAACATTTCCCTGTGCTTGGATCACAAGTGGCAGGAGAAGGGAATGCCTTATTTGCGGCTCTGACTCCCTAGAGCTACCAGGAACAGCAGCAATAGCTCTGGACGAAAGCAGGCCTCCTTTTGTACGGCAGAAGGTTCCTCAATGCGATTCCATATCAACAGGGAGGTTTTTCTGAAATAACAATTCATATTTCCTGCAAAAACCAGGCTCTGGTTCTCTATTGCTTTTCACAGTCCCTTTCCTTCTCTCACTTGCCTCTTCCATAATAGCAAACATGGCAACAACTTCTTGTCCACCTTGTTTTGTTGCCATTTACAGCCTGGAACAAGCAACAGCTGGTTCATTCTTGCAATGTTTTCCCTAGTTCAAGACATGCTCTTCAGCAAGAAGGGGACCCTCTGAATGCCTTGGTCCATGCCATGGCTGAAGCAGCTGGAAGGTCCAAAACATGAAGCCACAGGGAACTGTGGGGTGGCCTTAAGTACCACAGTCTGGGCTCTGTCCGCCCCACTGCAGAGAAAGCTGTTTTGAGCAAGGAAACCTACTTCTTCCATCCGGGAAACAGTCCTGGGGTAAAAGTGCCCAATCCCCCATTCCAACGTGTTTGTTACAAGTAGGAAATTAAAGGGAACGAAGGCCCCCCAAAAATTATAAAATAAACATATATTTAAGACTGCTGATGAAGACACTTGATCTGGAGAGAGAGACCTCTGTCTAGACTGGGGGAGAGGGTATGAGAGTGGCTGTGGGGGCACAGCAGTAGTACTTCTATGCTTTGACAGAAGGGTTACCTTAGAGGTATTGTCAGCAAAGGAGGCAGGACTGCCCTGTCAGTCCGACTGACGGACTTGCCTGGCTGACACCCGCAAACTGAGGGATGCGGCATCACTGGGTCTTGAAACACGAAGTGCTGGACCGTGGCCAAGCTGTTGCTGTTCTGTAGGGAGCCACGATGAATAATGGCTGCTCTTCTGTCTTGGTCGAGTGGTTATGTGATATCAATGCCGGGATGGCTGGGGATGATGATGATGATGTGAAGCGGTCTGTGCTGTCTGCACAGCAGAATGGAAAGGCTGGGAGGGGGTGCACAGTTTTGTCTGTGTTTTAGGACAGAAATAGTCAAAGGAAATTAACTTTGTTAATGTAGTTAACTTTGAAGCACTCTGTGCATATTTGACACAGAAATTTTTTTTAAATAGTTCTCCTCCTTTTGCCCAAACCTGTGATGGCTCATACCTGCTTGCTTTCTTTGTAGCTTATTGCATGTACTTTTGCATCATTGCAACTGCTGCACTTCAAGTCTGGTGGACCCCTCTGCAAGAAGGAAGGTGCCCTCCCCTCAGAGCTATTGCTTTGTGGTGGGCTGACCTCAGCCAGCAGCCAAGTACCCTCACAGCCGCTCACTCCCCCCTACCCCAGTGAGACAGGGGAGAAAATAGGAAGAGCAAAAGTGAGCAAACTTGAGGGCTGAGGTAAGAGCAGTTTAATAAGAGAAGGAAAAAAGGAAAAAAACCCAAGTGGTGCAAAGGCCACTCACCATCTCCCCTAAGCAAGACTGATGTCCAGCCAGTCACTGAGCAATGGCTACCCTGGAAGATAAAACCCCCACCCCCTTCTTCCTCTTCCCAGCTTTTATTCTGAGCAAGACGTTACATAGTATGGAATATTGATCAGTTGGGGTCAGCCGTCCCACCTGTGTCCCCTCCCAACTTCTTGCCCGCCCCTAGCCTACCTGTTGAGGGGGTAGCATAGGCAACAGAGAAGACCTTGATGTTGTTGCAAGCGCTGTTCAGCAACAAGTGAAAACGGCGGTACGTTATCAACACTGTTTTAGTCACAAATCTAAAACACAGCACCATACCTGTTATTATGAAGAAAGTTAACTGTCCCAGCCAGACCCCAGTACATGGTGGAAAACATCAGCATGCAGCACAATGTAATGGAAAAGATTTACTTTTTTTCTCTTAGACAATCCACAAGACAGAGATCGTAGACTTCGTTGTGAGCCTGCAAGGCACAGAAAGCTGCTGGACTGAGTCAGCCTGCAGAAATGGATGCAGCTTACAAAGGCCTAGGGAGCAATGGTATTTATTTACAGCACTTTTTTTATTCTTCCTTATTCAGCAGGTCTGAATTCCCAGTTGTTGTAAATTCTGGGAAATGATTGAAATTATCAGCATGGTTCAAACGTTGCCAAATTCCGTGCACTTTTTTGATAGGACACAAAATGGAAGTATTCTTCTAGGAATAGGTGTTTTCCAACTGTGCAAACGAGTGTGTGCTCAACTCAGAATATGATTATTTTGTATTTGGAATAAAGGGTCTTTTACCAAGGAAACACGCCAGTTTAAACTGATTAAACTGTCAAGGATTCTGCTAAGAGCAAGTGCTCCAAAACCTAGGGGAAAGCTGAGTTTCTGGAGCATGTTAGGCTAGTGCGTATCTGCGTGTGCAGAGGAGAAGTGACTAACATGTTTGTTCAATTTGGCTCCCTTGGCAAAAAGCTGTCTCCCTGGAAGCGTTCCTGCAGGGAGCTGGATAGCGCTGCGCTGCCTCTCCCGGACACCAGTCCATCACACAACAGGGACTTTAAGTGAAAGATTAGGAAATACACCCAGAGTTAAGCAAGAAGTAAGTGACGTGTAAAGAAGGGTGTTGCCATGATCCATGCTTTGGAAACTTCTTGTAAGCTTTAGATGACAGACAGCTAAAGCATCCACGCTGTCTTTCTTCTCCGACTCTGTTGTAGTTTGCAGTACACGTTCCATCTCTCTTTTATCCTTATTCTTCAGCTCCAGCAGTCATGGAGCCAGCCAGCCTTCCTCACCTGCCCCTCCCCAGTCCTCTACGCTTGTCAAGCTTCAGCAGTGCTTTCCCCCACCAAGCTCCTCCTGAAGCCCCCGACAGCTGAAAGCTCCCTCCTAGGCTTAGGTCTGCGTCAGGACTTTGCCTACAGTAACGAGAGAGAAGCAGCAACGTGGCTGATGTTGCTGTGGTAGAAAAGTTGGTTGTATTTTGGGGTTCTTAACACACACAACCCTACCAACCAACCCCCCTTTAATCCGCTACATGAACAAATGCCCAGTCTCTGATATATTTTGATGCTCAGCCTAATGATTATTAGTAGATTCCAGTTTGAATTGGGGATAGAGGCAACTTCATGGTAGGAAATTATGTCTGGGGACTGTGTTGGATGCTATCTGATACTAACTTCATTTTAAATGGCTTATTTTGTTATTTTATTGCCTGTTTTGACCTAGACTATGAAAGCTTGCAGCTAAGTGGAAAGGACACAAAGGGGAGCATTCATCGAAGACAACCTTTGGGTTACTGTGCCTGGGGAGGGTAGGGGCCGCTGAGGTTAGATGCTCTGCATCTCAGCAATTACTTCTGAAGTCAGGTTCCTGCATTGAGCCCTTTCCCTGGAGAATCCTTTCCTTCCACAGGCTTTGGAGGAAGGCGAGCTCCTCTGCTCTGAATTTAGCTTTTGTGAACATCTGTGTCCTTGCCCCAACAGGAACTGTTGAAGTGCCGTATCACGCAAGTTTGGAGGGTTGTGCACAGTAGGTATGGAAACAGCAGAAGAAGCAACAAGGCAGCACTTCAATTGAGAGGAATGTTTTTTTTCTGTTCCCCCAAGAATAACTGGATTTATTTGGTGACACAAATCTGAATGAGCAGGCACACCTGAAATGTATTGGCTTATATTCTGTATTCTATATGCCAAACTAGATGACATAATGTAATTTTGCAATGTAGGAAAGCAAATGAAAAAGCCCTTTAAAAAGGAATCTGTAGTAATACAATTAGAATGAAACTTTCTGTTACAAACTCTACTAAATGATGGCAACCTGTTTATTTTATCCAAAAAGCTTTATCTCTACAACACTTTATATATAGTGTACTACTAAGTAACGATAATTAAAAAAAAGTCATGTTGCTTCCTTCGAAGTCCGGCAGTTCCTTTACTCTTGCTGTTTTACACGGATAGGAGGAAAGCGGGGTCATTCTGACTGAGGGAGGGCTCAGCCTCGCCCAGTGCAGCCCTATAGGCACCAGCTATAGCAGGATAAACGGCATTAGTAATCATCATAGTTGACCCCTGCTCCGTGCCTGAAGGTGTGTGGATTTCGCGGGCCAATTGGTGACTCTTCATCGTAGTGGTGTTGGTAGTATCCGCCATAGTATTCATTACGAGAACGCCCTAAGCTTGTCCAGTAGGAGATGTCATCTTCAAATTTCTGCCGAAAAAAGAAAATACTTGCTTTCCCAGCCTGAAACTTTACAATGAAGAGAGTGAAACAGAGGTGGCGCGAGAGGTTCCTTTTGTCTCTTTCAGAAATTCAGATCCTTTGTGTATTTGTCAAAATGAAATCTTTAGATCTACGGGGTTTTGTGACTTGCACCTACCTTCTCTATGGGATTATCAGGGCCCCGAGTGCAGGAATTGTCCTGCCCAGCCCCACCTGGGACCCACCCCCACACCCTCTGCCCACTGTAGAGTGCTTAAACTGAAAGCGCCTTCAAATGAAACATGTGCTGAGCACCTTTAAATTACCTTTTCAGTGGTGGACTATAAAAACATTTCAATGTTTTGTACTTAAAAATCTAAAGGTTTGGTTCTCCGTTGCCCCGTGCCTTTAGTCACGGTGTCCCTGACTGCAAAGTGGGTGCAACAGGCTTTCGCTTCACGCCTGTGATCTTTCACTCCCATTTCGCATGGGTAAAAATGAATGTACAGTGCAGCCCTCTAGCTATGGAAATGCAATAAGCAGTTCAATTCTGCTCACAACAGCAGAGGAAAAACAGTGTGCAAGGATATCAAATACTTGCCCAGCCAAAGCCTTTCCATCTGAATGACTCTTTGGAAATATTTTTGGCTGAGATTTGAAAAAAAAGTTTTGCAAAATACACAATGGGTAAGTATGGCCCAAGTGCTTTGCTGGAACAGACAGTTATTTCATTGTTAAAACTGTGTCTTAATACTCAAGAAAACCTACTAAGAGGATTCATTGTATCCCACAGGAGGCCTCACTTCAGTTTTTGAAATGCACACAGGAGAATTCATCTTACCTGCATTGTTTGTCCTTATTACTTACTTCTTGGTATTTGCCCCCAGTCTTCAGTTTCTGATGCATAAAACCACTTTTCCTATTTTTCCTATTCCTACTGGGGGAGGGGGATATAGCCATGCTGTTAAAAAGTCACTTTTATCTGCGTAATGTCCAGGAGGATACAAAAAAAATGTATCCTTCATTATTTCAGTCCAAGCAAAGGATTATTTTTCTAATTGTTCCAGCTTTGAAAATGAGTGCATTCATCTTCTAAGCAATCCACATAGCATGAAGGTCCAAAATGTACTCCAGCTTGCCTGTGCCAATGCAGTCTCATTAAACGTATTCATGCAGCTGACAGAAGCCAAGAATTCAACATCTATAACTATTTTTACCTCTTATTAACATAGAAATTATTCTACATGTGGGACTGCAACTAAATGCACATTTTTCGCCCTATTTCAGCATCTATTTAGTAGAGCTTTGTGCAGAGCCGGGAACTCTTGATTCCACTCCAGTGTTTTTACAAATTAATTGTTTTTTTTTAAAAAAAAGTATCCTTCTCATTTGAAGGGAGGTTGGCTGCATATTATCAAATGGTTTTCCTCTCACATTTAGAGTCGAGGCACAGCTGCCGGTGCTCGTGATGGTCAGGAGCTGCCCGCACCACGGAGGCATGTGCATGCATTAGGTACGTAACGTTAGTGCAGTTTCATTGAGGAATGCCAATCACGACCAGCTTGGTGTGGATTTCTCAGCGTGTTTAAAAAGTAAATTGATTAGGTTGAGGCTGCCAAATTAATTTCCTGAAATACGATTGATTGCTTTGGGTCTGGCCACCTATTTCTCAAAGCAGACTTTGTCTGGTTGCAATTTTTTAAGCTTAAGTTCAGTAGCCCGCAAGAACTGCAGGCAAGATTTCAATGTCATTTTTCTCTATTAACAAAATAATGCAGAAATCTCTAACAAATACGGATCTTATATTCCTGTGCAGTATTTGCTACTTCAAAAAAAGAAGTCACGTTGTCCGTGAACAGAAACAGGGCAGCTTTTCCCTGGGTGCCCCCGTGGCTGTGCAACCACGCTTGCAGCCACGCACTCTAAAGCCGTACCAACCCTCGAAAGCCTTACCGCCTCATCGAATCCCAGGTACAGGAACTGCTGGTACCACTGCTGTACGTCGGGCTGGCTTCTGTCCCACAGCTGGCGCCTCTGGCGTCTCAGGCTGCTTAGGAACTCCTTGGCCGCCGCTTCTTTCACTGACACCTCGGGCTTCGTGGCAACAGGGGCTGAAATTAATTTCCCCAAAAAAAAGGCATGCCAGGAAATCTTTAGTCAGCCTGAAGCGTACTGCTTGTGGCAAGTAAGAAAATGCTTCTCGCATCATGCCATCACCTTTGTGCTCGGCGGCGCAATGCGTGTCGCGGCAGTAACAGTAATAAACCCAGGAATCGTCGATGAAACAGGATTTCTCAGCTACCCTCATTCTCTTGGCTTTGATAAAAGCTGTTCTGAGCTCAAAGATGTAAGCTAAGTAAGGAATTTAAATAAATAAACCCAAACTGAAAGAGCATACGCTGTGCTGCGCTTTGAGGAGAGAACAGGAGACTGGCCTTTGCGTGCTGCTGTTACAGGAACAGGAAAGAAGATGAGAGGTGAAGTTAAAAAGGCTGAAGAAGCTGAAGAAACACTGCTAACTTATTAGGGTGAAGGGAGGCACACATAAAAAGATAGATTTTTGAATCTGTTGTGTAAAAATGTAGCTTTTAAATAATGAGTGCTACTAAATGCCCTGTATGTCTGAAAATAAAAAGCCATTGGGCTTCCATAGCACGCTGCTTGGTGGATGCATGGGAATGCCCTCAACCTGCCAGACCCAGACATGCCATCTGGCTTGCCCCATGCCTGAGAGGCAGGCAGTTTGCTGCGGCTGCTAGAGGAATTTATGTACCTCCGAAAGGTATGGATGTGAGGACTGGCTAGCCCCCTGCCACGCATGGAAACGATAAAACGTGGTATGATGTTTGGTCTTCCCGTGAAACAAGAAGCACGTGTAGGAGTAGGAGGAACGTCCTGGCTTCAGAGGGTTCATTGCAATGAGGGAGAGACCAGGAACACGGGTGCGGATGGGGATTTTTGGAGGACGCGAGGGAAGATGCCAGGGCAGAAGGGGAAGTCGGGTGGAGCTGTGAAAACCGTTGAAGCAGGAGCTGGGCAGAGTCACAGTGGGAGGCGAAGGACTGCGGTGGGAAGGAGATTCAAGAGGTAAAAACAATAGCTGAGTTGTCACAGGAAGAGTGGGAAGCAGCAGGCTGCCCTGCGGTGATGAGCTGGAAACTGGTAACTCACCGTGCGCTTGAGCTGGGTGTTATTACTGCGAAGCCGGACAGCTGAACAAGCGTCACGTGAATGAGCCTTGCACAAGGGACATTGCCAGCAAGGGAACCAGTACTGTGTGCTTGGCCTGCTCGCTTTAGCGCACAGCTGGAAAAGGGGAGCGAGGCTGGAATTAAGGGGCTGCGTATTCCCTCCATCATCAATTCAAGGCTTTGCGGTTCTTCCTGGTCTAGGCCGTGTTGTCTGCACGCTCCCCCTGGGCGGTCCCTCTCACCAGGGGACCTGAGCAAACAAGCCGACCGCTGCTGGGGTGCAGGGGGGGCGGCTGTTGCAAGCGGTCACTCCTATCTGCATGTAAGCACTGCAGAACGCTGAGGTAGGGAACCCACGTGCAAGGAAAACAGCCGTGGATGGGGCACACATTTTGGGGCTGGAAAGAGGTGGTGGGTGACGCCAGGAAAAACCCAGTGAGTAGTTAGGCAGTCTTGCAGAAAGTGGGAGTCCCTTCTGTGGGGGGTGTAAATTCTTTGCCTCAGCCATAGAGCAGGCTGAGGGGAGGCAACCAAAACTTCTGGGGTGTTTCATCCTGCCCCCCATCTGCTGCAGTGCTGCTTGTCCCTGGCCAGCTCCATTTCCATCCCCTTCCCTCAACCAGCAAGCCATTCAGTGCATCTGCCTGCTGGGCCCTTGGCCATCATCTCTCCCATAGAGAGAGCAGTCTTCCAAGAAGGAAGCACATGTGGAGCCAAGAGGACAAAGGGAACAAGTCAAGGCATCGCGAGCAAGCCCGGTTTGCACATTTTCTTCTCTGCACCTGGGCCAGCAGTATTTCCATGCGTTGTAATTCCTTGGAAAACTTGTGACTTCCCAGAATAAACCAGATAAACGCCACGTCTGCCATGCATACACTGGAAAAGGTAGGTGCTATACACTGCGCGGAGCAAAACGCAGGCATACTGCCCGAGGCTGGGAACCCTGCTTTCCAGAGGGGGCTGTGATAAGCAGAGCCTCCAGCCTTGCCAATACCAAGTCCCAAACAGACTCCACGGGGCTGGCACTGTATGCGCAGGAGGTTTTGGTACGGTACGTAGTGAGAGCGGCTGTGTGCTACCAGCTTTGAACCAGGTGCTTGTACACTGCTCCTCCGACTGCCCTCTTTGAGCTGGAGACAGAGCCACAACACATTGGCAGCTTTGACCGATAGCAAGTGACTCAAAGGAAAAACAAGGGAAAGCACTTTGCCGTCTCTTTACTTACCTTCGCGTTTCTGAAGCATCAGTTTGAGCTTATTTCCCCTTGAAACATCTGGACAAGTAAAAATAAGACACACACATTTACTAAGAAGGAAATAGCAACAACAAAAAAAGATCGTATCTTGAAAAATACTGAAAGTATTTTTGTCATAGCTCCAGACCGCCAAGCAAAACTCTGCAGCAAGTTTCTACCAGTGCCTCCCTTTGCTCCCGTTTCCACACTCGAGCGCAACATATGCTACAGGGAAGCTTTTGATACTCCAGCATCCTCTCCCCAGCTCTTCTTGGCAAGGGAACCCCAAAACTGGCCTTCTTCGCCAATTAGATTTTAATATTTTGCAGCAGAAGACCACCGCCGGTGCCAGTACTGTCACACAGCGTCCACGGCGGCATGATAACCCTGGAAAAGCCTTGTCACCGAGCGAGGGGCACGTTAACAACCGGAGTGCTTCAAGATTTTTCCTTGCAGCCTGTCCCAAAGCACGTCAAAGCTGTCGTCCCGCTGACGCCCTTTCCCAGAAGGGACCCAGGGTTTCAGCCCATGGCCGGGCAGCGCAACAGGAGACCTGCGAGTGCTCGGCTGCTCCGAAATGCTTTATTCGCCGGAAAACAAGCTCTTTAAAAAAGACGCTCACCTTGCGCAAGTTTTGGCGTGACCAAAAACGTTCACCCCCGCGGCCACGCGTGATGCCCAGGGGAAGGCTTTCGCCCGCTCCCCGGGACATGCCGGCTTAGGTTTTCCCT